ATACTATTTAATTGTATTTCAGCTGTAACTAAAGATCAGTATCAGATCAATCCATTAGTGTAGAAATGAAGCCGCTTACGAGAGTTTTTAAACTTGTATTATATAAAAAGATGTTCAGCAAATAAAACAATAGATTCTTTGTATTATAAGAAAATACTTTTATGCAACTTGAGTTATACATTGAAGTTATTAAAATTAATATTTTCAATTTCATAAAAATATATTGAATGTTTATCCTGTTACGTTACTATATATAAAATATATTTTAGTTTTTAACTAAAATATATTTTATATCATAAATTAATTTACTTTACGGTTTATTTTTATTTAGAATATTATTCAAGATTTCGATACCTTTAATTTTTTGTGCCCGCATTTACCTTTTTTGTTAATATGAAAGCATTAAGTGGGAGTTTTAAGTCTATCTGAAGGTGAGTTTTCTTAAGGAGATAAATTGTTACAAACCTTTTTACTTTATAAAGGTACGAGTATATATGTAGCTTATTGCAAAATATTACTAGTAAAATTAATGTAACAATCTATTTATATAATATACAACTGTTGACTTCTTTCGAGTAATTGAAAAACATAAATAAACGATTGTGAAGGTTTTACTTTCCTGAATAAATTCTATCTTTTACATACTAACAAAAATCTACGTCTCTTCATAACTACAGGTGTGAGAAAGAAGGAAAAAATTTGCGTATATAATGAGCAAAATTGTTTGATCTTTATTTAACCATTGTTATCTATTCAAATAACCCGTGGCAAGTAGGTCGCATTTCCGCTTTTTAACGAATCGTTGGCACATAATTTAGAATTTCTGTATCAATGAGAAAATTAACAATATTATGTTTAACAGTTCCTTTGTGTGCACGCGATAAAAAGCCTTGTTACGATCAGATAAAATTTACAGCAAACAAATGTTATAGTCTACAATACTAAATTGAAACCTAGTTCTTTTGTTTTCTTTTTTATTATTTGATTATACGTAAAGAAGGATTTTTTTTTTTCAAAAATTACATGTTAAGGTTTATATTAGAAAAATATAGTTAATATTCTTTTGACATACATATTTTCAGGAGGGAATTTTGAACTCAACAGGGTTTAGTGGCATAATTACAAGTGAAACATGTCTTAGTAGAAAACAATGTAATTTATTTTATAAATATACCGGATAAATGAATGCTGTTCAAGTGTTTAATATTATAATACGATGATATCGGGACAATACTTTTGTTTTTATTATTTATTGCATTTATTTAAATTTTCATCATATTCTGAGATGTTAGAGCCTAGCTTTGGCCAAGTTACTACAGCTCGAACATTGACTGGCTCAACTGGGGAAATACCACCCTCTCACAGAAGATCGGAGTCAAGTAGTCTTTAAGGCTGCGTTTCGTCTGATGCAAGAGAGAGCCTGTTGCCTTTTTGCTTATCCCACCCTTTCCTGACCTTTCCCTTTTCCACCTTTCCCTCTAGTCCCCAATCAAGGCTGGCAATACATTTGCAAATCTATGTTGCAGATATCTATGAGCGACGATACTACCTCAATCAGGTAGGCCGTCTGCTTCGTTGCCTCCTTTAGCATAAAAAAAAATAATTAATACTTTTATTATTATAACCATATTTATTTTATTTCTTGGTAATAAAAATATCAGAAGTTCAAAATAAGCTATTTCAATAAATTTTCATATCAAAACAATAATCTGAGCCACAATTTAGTCTAAAATTAGGTAATAAAATACAAGGACAGTTTTTATATACATATGTATGTATATAATTCTTTGTAAGAGTACTGCATTATTTCTGGCGCAAAAACGGAGCCGTTGGTAATAATTGCAAACAATTCGTAGAGAAGTGTGATTGTAGCTTGCTTTTGTTCTATCCATTTATATGGTGCTCGTTTATTTCAAGTTTTAAAAACTTATCATTGCTGCACGCTTGGGAATTTAAAATTTTAAATGACTTTAGAAACGGAAAAGGTTATCTTCTTTATCTGTTAATTACTGGTTTGAGTTCTAAAATAAAAGGAATATCGATTGAAGTCTGAAGTTTTTTGTCATCGAACCGTCGTTATATATTGGAGAAAAAGAATATACTAAAGTATAATCCATGTGAATATACATCGTAAAATAACCATGTTGTACGAAGAACAATATCGTATTCTTGTACCGTTTGTAACTTTATATCACACAAGATGTCTTGTTTCATCAGGAGACCAAATATCGACTTTTGTGCTTTGCATAAATTTGCATCCCAACATGCTTTGTTCGCTTACTATGCTGAACATGATATCGCCCCGAAGACATTATCTCCCAGTGGTAGATTCGCCTTTCGTGATAAATATTGTTACACCCAACCCTACTGAAAAATATCATTTATTACGAAGTCATGAAATACGTACTGGAACATTTTTACCTACTGTTATAAATACTAGACACTTATTATAACTTAAAATATTTTACGATTGTTTTAATTCAACTAAAAAATAAAAAAATATATCTGTCGTACAAAATCTCATTAGGATTATCGTTTATTTTTTTACAAGTTTTAATACCCATCTGCGAACTCTTTTCTTTCATATACATACATATTGATACTGTAAAGAGCATTTTCTGAAATCTCAATAAGAAAATTTCAAGAAGATAGATAAGCTTATTTTGATATCTTGAGTAAAGATAGTTTAAATATTAATTAAGTACGATCAAAATCTTAAAGTACAAAAGGTTAAGATGCTTGTCCCAATATCATTATCAGATATTTTCTTACAGCAGTATTATCTCGTGACGATGTCAAAGGGAAATTGAACGTTTACATGCTTACCATAGAATATCTGAATGACATTCTGCCTTTATAACAAAATATATTTTGTCATATTCTAAATATCCGACATATTTTAATAGATGACGCTAAATAATAAATAGATAAAATATTTGTGACATGAAGTTTAACTTCTTTAGTTTAAGTTTATCTTTAATTACTAGAACTATACTTTCAATTTTACTTAGATCATGAATTATTTATTTCAGAATTTTACTCTTGCTATAAAATATAAGTTCATATTCTAAGCCATACAAAGTATCCTACAAGTTAGGAGTTGTATGGAAATAACATGTAAATGTTAAATCCACTCTCTTAAATGCATCTTATGTACAGTAAGATTTAAAACAAATGCATGAGATCATACATATTTTAATGAAATAAAACAAAAAATGTTATCCATCGTTTATTAAAATCAATTAAAACATTCAATTTTTACAATTATCGTGACGAAAGATCAGCACGTTTTATATTAAGCTACATTAAGATGTAATTATTTACATAAAGTTGTTTTACCACATTTATAAACTAGATACATTCACTAAGATAATTATATGAAAGGAAAATCAAATGTGGAAAATCTTGTATTACGAACGAACGAAAAATAGCCATTTTAACTTATAACTTAATCGATTTGAATGTAAACAGCTTAGCTTTTATAAATATTATCATTTTGACTTTGTAATTACATAAATGACACAAAACGAATGCGTTACTGCGTGAAAATTGTGTTTGAAATATAAATTAAAAGGTTTAGAAATTACAAAATAGTATTCTTAAATTGTAATTCATAAATGCAACGTGGATAGGAAATTGGTATTAATATAAAATAGAAAATGTAAAATGCGGCATTACGGAAGTTACAGGTTCATGACTTGGTTGAGTTTATAAATTTTTCATTATGTTCTATTTGAATTTTAATTTAAGTTATAGTTCCATATCGGCACAATGTTAAAATTAGAACCGTATGAATTCATATAGAACGAGGATTTTGATGTTAAAAATATATTACAATATATGAATATTTTTTGAACAACTAAAATACCGTTTTTGGAAAAAATATATAAATCATGAATTGTCTCAATTTTCATCTGGATTTTATTTGACAGATAATTATCTTTTGTATTAATAAAAGTAAGTGGCTAGATGATGCTTGCTCAATAGTCTTTAATTTACAAAATGACCAAGCCAATGACGTCTTTAAACTGAACCTACGATTGATATTTATTATTACTTTTTAAATATAGTTTTGGCCGAATTCACATATTTAACACCGGCGGTTCCAAAATTTGCATTCAATGACTTTTCACAACATGATTCCCGTCAACACACTTATAAAGATAAGTCGACTTATAATTTGCCAACAATATAAAAGTTTATTGTTATATTATTATAAATTTGAAAAAAGATACGTAAATCATATGTAACAAGATATTCATAAAAAACACATTATCCGATACATTAAATGACCAAAACTATTTATTAAATATGAACATACAAGACTTCAATATTTAATTGGTCACTGCAATGAAGTCAAGTCATCTACACTAACTTACACACTAATTGCTCCGCCTTTACACGTTGAGATCTAAATAACATTAACTATATACATTATACGTATAAGAGTAACATTAAAAATTAACAATACAAATATATTTATACTTCAAGGAAATTGTTAACCAAATATTTTTGCTTCAAAAACCCTAACAATTTTATTACAATGATATCTCGTAATATGATTACAAGTAATGAATTGTTTAGAAATTTATTTATTAATTTTCAATCGTTAATGTTCCGAAAAGAAATAAAAAAATCTTATTTATTTATTCAATATGTAGTAAAATCATTACTTTATTTACAAAGATCTAGAAGAACCATTTGATTACATATGGTATAAAAATTAAATTCTAAAGTATAAAATTTACCATATATCTACTTATAAAATAAAGAGTCTTGCAAACTAGCTTATTAATTTGTTACAATAAAGCTGATAAACATAACTGACATTTATGCTAGAGATGATCAAATTAATTTCTTACATTTATGAAATCATTCGTCAAAAATATGCACACACTAGCACACAAGTCATATCACAATACCGCCTGAGCATGAAAACGTCAACATTATTTATATCACCAATATTTAACTCCGAAGCGCAGAGCTCAACTATAAAACAATTAAAGCACAGCTATATATACTAAAATAAGGGTGAGGATCAGACTAATGAGCGGAGCGACGAGCGGAGCGGATCGTCCAGAAGCTGCTAGAGCGCTGGCTGCTGCCTCGACGCATTGCCTATACGCGATGTGCTCCAAACAGGTTATAGCACAATAATGTTGATGTGCACACGCCCCATCGCAGTTGTCAGAGATATCCCGTTTAACGTTATATGAGCGCAAATATCTATGAAGAAATAAAAAAATATTCTTATATGCTCTTTGACTTCACGTATATATACTACGAGTATATCACAAGATATGGAAAGGTAAAGTTCATAAATATTAAAATATTATTAAAAGGTTTAACGTATAATAAAAGCAACTATTAATTAACACGACCGTAAGCTCTTCCAAAAACCTGATTAATCATCTAGGGGTAGATAAAGTTTGTTTTATATTGCTAAAGATTTCATTAGAAAGTTTCTTAAATCACCATTCTTTGAAACAAAGCCTACAATTAAAATGAAGTTAATTAGGAGAACATTTAGTCAATGAGTTTTGAAATTTCGTATTTCTAACACGAGTTTTTATACAAAATGTTACATACTTATTGAACATGGTAGTTTCGTGAGCCGTGCCAATCCTTAGCTTGTCAGCCAAGTGATGCAAGGATTCCGCAGAGACGTCTCTAATGGCGTAGTATTGTGTCAAATTGTACTCAGCCACCCAGTCACCTCCTACAACCGTTGTACCGTCCCCACCTCGATTCGCCACGGCCAAATCCAAGTAAAATTGAGTGTAATCTAAAACCTGGTATCATAAATATAATATTTACTTTATTCTATTTGATTGTAAAAGTATTTAATTAAGCAACTGACAATATTCTAGAAGTAATTAAGTCTAATTTTCAATTTTGTATATAAACAAACTTTTCTGTAAAATTATATATCAATAAGACTTTCCCAGCTTAATAAGGTTCTCGATAACATCTTAGAAATTCAAGCAAAAAAAATTTAAAGCTTACTAAGAGATACAAAACTTAGCAATTGGACAGCCCTTGCCTTTGAATAACATATGTCATTAAATGTGTAAAGTGGGATACGGTCTAAAACAATTACAATATTTATAGCTGCCACTAACTTTGGATAAATTAAATTAATAATAGTATTTGCTTTTATTCGATAAAATCTAATATCTAATACAAAGTAAGTAAGACTAAAAACATTTTATTCGATACACTTAATTCTCTTAAAACAGAAATAAAAAAGTCCATGAAATCGTAAAACATTACTTTCAAAGAAATGCCATAAAAAATTTTGTTCATTAAAAAAATAACGTTGTGTTGCCTTCTAATTAAATTAACGTTTTGTTTATTTGTTTTGTGAATATACCAATTAAAAAAATATATGTACTTCCAAAAATAGTTTTAGTGTAACGGTATACGGATTTAGTTAGCAACTATATTTTAAAAATAAAAACTACGAGTAAAAAAAATCTTCAATATTTCAACCTTAATTATACAGAGCATTCACTTTTATCGAATATTGAAATTTGACGCGTTTTTGCGGTCGAATAAATAACAAATTGGAAAGTGGATTTCACCAAAAATATATTAAATTTATAATAATGATTTCATTTTATCAATATTCAAAGTTAAATAATTTATAAATAACTTTGAAATATATTCATTATTTTGCTTTAATTTTTAATGATGAGTAATACAATATAAAGTGTAAATACAATTCATAATGTTTCATTCTCATTACAAAACGGCTGATAATAATACTATGCACTATTATATTCATATATATCTTCTGTCTGATATGTTTTTGAATAAGTTTTTGAACGAACGAATAAATAAAAAATATTTGCATTCAATAAAACAAGATTTTTATTTGCGGAACAATCAAACGCCAATTGAATAGATTGAGATTGCTCTGATTTTATAGTTATAAACTATATTTCCATACAGAAGACTTACTGTATTGATTGCTAAGACTATTTTCTTTCATTTAATCACATTCCATGGTTTTTATATTTCAAAAAGTCTAAATATATTATATCGTTATAAATATAACGGTGATTAATTTGATTACTTATGGTGGACGACAAAAAATATATACCTATATTTATTACTGATACGGTTTACGATGTACAATATAATCACCCCAGTATATCTAGGGAGTTGATAGTTGCATCAAAACGTTTTTGTAGATGATAAAATAGTTTATTGCTATAAATAACTTATATTCTAATGATAGTGTTATCACTTAATATTTTAGTGCGCCAGACCTTTCGTGTTTCACTATTTAGAAATTGGTTATTCTCACCTTTCCTGTATCCGAGTCAAATTTGTAAAGTCGTAGTCCTGGGTTTGAAGATCCAGCAGGATCATGATGAGGGCTAAGAGATGGTGCTAAGAAAGCCCAGGATACTGGTAATTCTATTAAAAATAAAGAAACATTAAGGTCTCATAAAACATAGCCTATTTAAATTTTTAAGGTGATAGTAAAAATAATTACGTATAATTAAACATTTTCAAACAAGGCTTCATGGAAAATTTCATAACGAGCATATTATTAAGGGTATAATATAATTTAAAGTTTTCGCTTATCATCGTAATATATCGATTGAAAATGTTTTACTGAAATTGTAGGCTTTGATCATGCAAGGCTTTGCTTCACGGCATCGTTAAAGTGGTTCGAAAAAAATTCGTGTTTAAATACACACGCAATTATTAAATCCGCTTAAACATTTTGCCGCAACTAGCGTGAAAAATGACAAATACATAATTGACATATTTTATGAATATTATACATATATGGGATAGTTATGTTATTTTTTATATAAATTGTATTTATGAAGGAAAATATCCAGTCAACGTATATTTGTCCATTTTAGAGGTTAATTTATAATTTGTAAATAACAACCATTTTGAGTATTTTAACATTGCAAAATATTAATATTAAGAGTAATTTACTATGACATTGTAAATTTTGGTGTCCTAATTAAAATTTGCATCATAGTGTTTAATTATATTTAAAATTTTACCTATTTATGGTCACCGCGTATGAAGTTTTAATGTATTAATTGAATTGTTTAAGTAAATAAAAGCTTTAATAAAAATATTGTACATTTATAAATAACCAATGTAATTAAAGATTGAATGTTTTTTGTTTTAATTAAGGAATATAATGTGAACTTAATATACATATAAACTAAAACATAATATTCCTTATAATAAATCATTTTAACCTCTATAAACAGAGATGGTTAATAAGAAAATAAATAACCCATGACTTTTTCTTGAATTAGGTTCTTGTTTCACATGAATTGTTTATAACATTCCTTACTAAGATATTGAACTAAAGTTTATTTTTTAATAAACCAAAACTAATACTATATCAATCTTCTGTATCCTGACAACTAACCACATAATGTGAAGTAGGCCTCAGAAACGTAAATGCAAAATACCTAAGGACCGTAATCCGAGCGTGCTGCCGCATCAGCCACAGGTATTTCGTGAACGGTTTACGTACTAAATGCGATAACAAGAATTTTAGTAAAAGAATGTTCCTTACGATGTTTATTATATAAAAAGACTTCCAAGTGATTAGTCCGGTGAAGTATGATTGTTTTTACATTTAATTTTTTTTTTACTTAAGCGAATAAAAATAAATTTACATAAAAAGGATAAAGTTTATATTTATTGAATATAAAATAATGTTAGAAAAAAATTTCTATTACGTCTAGATTTTCAATTGAATATATAATTAACAACTAATCGGAAGCCGTATATATCATTATATTATGTTATAATCGATCATATTTTTCTATTTATGGATTACTCTATTAAAATGAAATATATTACTATACCTTTATCATATATAACTCGAAACGTGTCCACGTGGAGGTGTCCAAAGAACTGCCCCGCTATAATACCAGCGTGTCGTCTGATCGTGTTCAGGAATTTAACGTTTGCATCAACCGAGTAGGCGTTATAGCGAGATCCCGAACCAGGGGCTGAATGTCCCACGATATAAACCTATATAAAAATAACATTATTATAAGAACCATTTTCATAGACTTTCATAGTGTTTCATAGTACATACTGTGATATTAAATCTAACCTAATATTGAGTTAGAATCATCAAATATATCATGTAATATAAAGGTAAACAAAAAAATCATTAAAATAGATTGACACGTAAGATTCCAATTTCCGAATATAGCCTCAGGAGACTGAACAATGCGGAAGATGAAAAAGCAGAAGAGGCAATCATACAACAGGAAGTGACACTCTTGCTTATTAATTTTGGGGCAAATATTTTATACGTATATATTTCTGTCATTTTTCCTTGTTTGATGTATAATTGTTTATGTTTAGAATGATTGTGCATGCATATAATATACGACATATATACATATATAGCAATTCCAATGCTATACAATAATAGATTTGTTTGCTAAAATTATGATTATGTGCCAAAATTTTTTCTTTATTTTAATTTCTAACCAAAACTTAAGATATACAGGAAGTAACATAACTCTATGTAAAAACAAAATAAATTTGCAATTACACCACAAACTGAATTCTCGAATCTAGAGGATCTCCGTGTTTGTTCTCCAAAACAAATTCGTTGACAACAGAGACGAACAATAAGTCTTATATAATGCTTTCGATTTATTCAAACAAACAATACCTTCTTTGAATACGGCCTTCAAGTGTTTTTTATAGAAATTGCCTCTAAATCCTTGGCTTCACGAGGCAACAAAATCAAGATTCAATTGATTTCATAAACCCTTTTCGAAAATTTTAAATGTCAATTCCTCATTTAACTCACACAGTTTTATAGTAGTATCTTGAGGTTATTTAATAATATTTTTAGAATAATATATTTCTTTTAAATGAAACTACTATTTTCGAATATATTACGCGTAACTCCCTACGTTTCGGTTATTTTACAACAATCGTGATCACGGGCAGAAGAGATGTGAGTGTCTGTCAGCTGGTCTTCTAATTTTATCACCTACCGCCACCGATTTCTTAATTTTCAAGGGTACCGCTCTGGATGCCGGCAGAATGCGCTCACAATGTCTCGAGGTCCTGCGGTGTGATCAGGGACGTGGAATTTTATATTTTTCAGAAGAGGAACCCAGGTGTTTGATAGGTACCAGCCATTTTCTCTATTGGACTTGGGGTGTTTTTTAATTTTAATGGCCTCGCGGATTACGCTTGGTATGTACTAATCTTCACGAGCGAGGATATATGGTTTAGCAAATCTAATATAATGGCCTGGTTTGTCCAATGCATGTTCACACACTGCTGACTTCGACGCGCCTATTTTTGACGTCTGAAATGTGTTCTTTAACCCTTTTACCGATGCTTCTCTTTATCTGTCCAATGTATGACAAGCCACAGTCACAATCAAGTAACCAAAACGTCGGGAGTATGTAGTTTTGATAAAAATAAAAATAGCGTAGTACATCCTAAAAATATTAGTTTCATTTAAATGAATACTTGCGAAAATCTTAGATCTCTTTATATTAGTTTAATTTCAATGAATAAAACTCGCGTCAGTTTTAGATCTCATTATAATATACTTTATTTACGAGATAACCATATCATTATATGTAATACTATAGTTATATGTTATTACACATAATTTTATTTATCCATGACATTACTATCAGTTTACACTATGTAAGACCTCGGCCGTTTAATTAGATCTCGTGATATCAAACTACATAAACGTTAAATCTTTCCCGCGGCTCGGAGAGCACGTAAAGCTTTAAGCTTATAACCTCACAGCGTTCAACACAAATATATCATAACGATAAACTGTGAACGACAATACAGTATGTAATACAGCAAATGGCGTTCCCTTGAACACGTTAATATATATCACTAATAGATTAAAATTAATATATCAGCATAGAAAAATAAGCACAAAATAATCTAAATAAAAAAATAATAATTTATTCACAATAATTTCGAAACCTCCTATATGTATGTGGCGCGGAATAGAACGTATGTATCTAGCGTAGTAGCATTGCCGAAAGTGGCAACGTCGCAATACGCACGATGCCGAGCGGCGCCTTTTGTAGTGGCGGCATATTGAATTATAAAGACACGTAGTCGGATTGTTAACAGTAAAAATAAACATTTTAAATGTATGTTTAGTTTTAGAAATAACACTTAACCCGTCTCAAATGTATCGCTGACTAAGGAACGTGTCACTGAGGTACCTATTCGCAAACAGTAAATAAAAAAAACAAATTCAACCATCATATCTAAGCCACGTTTCAATAACATTACAATAATAATACAGAGAATTAGACAGAATTTGCACGCAACGGCCGAGTAATGAACGCGGGGCGGTGGGGCGGTAGCGCCTTTGAGTTCTGCCGACACGTCGCCGTCATGTCGCCGCCCGCTCGTTGTTACAAAATAAACAAATGAGTCGTATAGGATCAAAGGCGGCAATCTACACTTAGACTGAAATCAGAGAATTGAAAATTTTCGGTTTGTGTCGTCCGTTTCAAAAATGATATTACGTAACTTTATTTTAAGTGATGTAAGTATTGATGCGCTTAATATTAAACTCTCATTGTGTACTATAAAAATAACAAATTGAAGAAATTTACAGGCTTAGAATGTACATCCATGATTCAATTTATACATTTATTTTATAATCACAATAAATAAAATAATTCAATAAAAACACGGACACAAATTCGTTAGAAACTTCATACAGACGTCATTAGATCACGTGACCACACGGACGCTTGTGATTGGTGGAATGAGTTAGAATGCCGGGTTTGATTCTTATGCTGTTGAAGATTGCCGAATTTGATGCTAAACCTGATTTTCAAAAGGGATTTCACTCCGAGATAGTCGTTTTTGTTATAAAGTAAATTAAGTACGTAACGTTATTTTAAATTTCCTGTGTGTCCATATAAAAATCTTTATTTTGATAAAATGTGCAGATTGCCGCCTTTGATTCTATACGACTCAAATACTAGTTAATACAGAAGGTCTACTCGCTGGGTACATGAATTTGCTTTACATATTAAGTTGGATGAAAGTTTATTTAAACCACAGTTTAGGCTAGCATTTAAATGATCATGGTGGTATTACACTATTTATTTACAGTTCACATGGAGGTATTAAGCAGTTTTAGGAAAGAGTTCTGAACTTATTAATTTTGTGGCACACTCGTTTAGTGTTATTTTTTTTTATGTTCTCGAAATGTTTAAGGTATTATGATACATTTAAATAATGTTAAAACTTACCTAGATTTTGAACTGCTCGATATGCTGACCTCCTCTGTCTACACATTGTTGCAATCGCCGACGGTTATTTTCGTGCACTTTTTGAAGTGAGTACGGATGCTGCTTGTTTTTCTTTAATATTTTAAACACTACGACGTGACTCATATTGAACAGGCGGCCGGCTCTTCTGGTGCTTGAACCGGGCTCCTCCTCAAAATGCCTTAGCGCGTTCTCTTCCTGCCGCACTGAAATCACGGGTCGCGGGCCACCTGAACGACGCGGCACTACCGGCTCATTATTACGCAAACGCACCAGGGCACTCACAATTACACGAGAATTCCGCGGTTGGTATGTATTAGGGTACCTCTCAGCATACATCCTCAGAGCACGTGCACCATCATAGTCACACTCAGCATAAATGAGCACCATATTCACATACTCCTGCGCACTGAACTGATAACGCGGAATCTTTCACACGAAAATACGTAGACGTAGTAATGCGGAAATAATAGACGTGCGATCCCGGTCAGCGGCGTGGGATTACTAAATAGTAAATACTAAAAAATAAAATTTCGCGGACGTTCGGGGGCGGGGGTCGGGTGACACTTTAAAATCGTAGATCAATCGAATGCCGCATACGCGGCCCGTCTTTTATAAGTAAGTTGCGACGTTGCCGTTCTTCAAATATGCGTGTACAGGATGTTTCTTTTACATGTAAATTTAATATTTTTAATGATTTTTTTTAAATAAAAAAAAATAAAAAACATTTTGTTTTCGATTGGTAATATTTTTTTTAGCATGTATGGATGCTACATTATTGCGGATTAATGGGAACTTGAATTGTTAGTTAACATACTGTATATACAGCGTTTAACTGACATGAATTTGTCTAAAGGGTTTCAAATATCTCAGCTGTAAATGTAAATACATAAAAAACACATGACGCTGAACAAATTGTAATATATAATGTAACTGTAATATTTATTAACAATTAAGATTGGACGAAAATAAATAACTTTTTGTTTGAAGAATATAAAAAAATATTTAATAAATACTAAATAAATAAAAGTAGATATATTAAAAGCTGATTTATTAAACGATTGAGTAAAAATATATTTCAATCATTGAAATCGTTCAAGGTTTTTGAAAATGTTATTTCGATAATTATGGAAGCATTCTGGAATTTTATTGCCATGGAAACAATGATATATCGCCGCTTCATACTAATGGGTCATAATTATGAATACGGAAACATTCTTGGATGAAACGTATGGGGACTCAAGGGGATTTAATACATGTATGATTTATGAATAAGAATTCCTAAACAACAAAATGCGAAAGCTTTGTGTTGTTTATTATATTAATTAAGAATTCCACCTGGTAATACCTAGTTCTTTTGTCCCTTCTTATGTTATTATTATAAATACTATAGAACTTTTTATAAATATTTGATAGATTATAAACAAATTTCTACAGAAACACGAAATCTTTCTTATCTAATTGGCCAAAAAATATCACCTTGTTACATAAATTAATTGAACTTTTTTGAATCAATAGCCAAACAATAAATAGCAATAATCAATTCAATTAAAAGGGATGGAATATAAAAAAGTATATAAAAAGCAATATAAGAGTAAGCAAATAATATATACTGTATAAATAATGAACAAGTCAAACCAATGGTATGAATTATATAATCTTCAAAACGCAACACATCAATTTCGTAAAGTGAGTTAGAATCGCCTGTTGTATGTACATTTAGCATCATAACTAGCCCGAACCGCAAGGGATGTCCGGCCGTGGACTTAAATAAATCACGAGATTAGAAACTCGTTAATGTTATCGCTATTATAATGCCAAATTATTCTTATTATATATACAATTTAATTTATATTATTGTAATAAAATACATATATATTAGTTACATTAACGGGCTTAAAATAATTTTTCATTAAGGCGTATTTTCCAATACGCCATGATGGTCCATTAGGTGCTACGGAAAATTGTATTACAAACATAACTATTTTGTGTATATGACTTCATATTTCTCATAAACTATTTATTGTTTAAGTTAATTTATTATCTGTCTACTTCAATTGTGAGTCCAGAAAATAATAAATCTAAAAAATACAGCAGTTTTTATAATGTGGACTTAAAATAAAGATATGGCTTCATTGCCTATTCTTTGATTTTTTCTTGTTGATTATTGAAGTATTGTCTATGAATGATAAAAAAAACAATACAAATGACAGCTACATCCAGCGATAGCTATTCAAAACAAATGAGCAACTTAAAAACGTTTCATTAAAAGCAAACAAAGAGCCGAACGAGCGCTCTTAATTGCTTTGAACCCATACAATACATCATGCATAATGGGATAATGAGGTACGGCCTAGTAGCAGCGTATGTGAAATATTTTATATGACATACACCGAACAAAGTTAAACTTAATATTGTATTGTACATTAAATATTCACAAGACAAATACCAGTCCCATACACAACCTAAAATATAAATGTTCTCAAACAAAATAAAAATACTCTCCATTCGTATATCCGTCAACTCGAGGCTAACTGTAACGTCTATATAATTGACGCTTTGACATCAGACACGTGTTTTCTCTTTTACCTAACCGTATTTCTTGACTTTATCATATAAATATTTAACTTCATAGATCATTCTATGTATCTTGTTTGATTTAATATTATTTTTATTTGTTGTATGGGTATATTTCAATTAAGTTACGTTCAGTAAAAGTCAGAATATTATTCTTAGTATAAGCGAAATCGTGCTAATGATATAAAATAAATTTTAAATGACTAATCCATTTCACATGCAAAATCTTTTGGTATTGATAAGTTGACCAAAGATGTACAGCTTATTTGTTCAACTTTAGAAAAGGTTGTGATATTTATGAAGGATTTTCATTTTATAAATTCTCACCATCTCACTATTAGCCGTTGCCTTATCAAGAACAGCATCCAACCATTCCCACTGCCGCTTAGCCTGTACACTGTTCGCTTGACTGTGGCTGAATAGGTTTGTGTTTAACGCCACGATACGTAACTTACTGTGCGACTGTTCTATTGTGTAATACCCATCTGTCGAAGAAATCAGTTTTAGTTAAGATTAAAATATTATATTATTTCTTCAATCTAAGATTGGTATGAAAACAACTTTATTAATATAAAATTTAAAACGTATTTTATTTTATCACCCAATAATTATTTTAATTTCAGTATTCTACCTTTAAAAGTTAATTTCTGACTATGACAATATTATTTGAATAGAAATTACATTTCATAACGACAGCTAATGAAAGAGTCAGTATTATAAAATTCAGTTTTTTAAAAATTCCTAGTGGCATTTGCTTCGTTTTTCCTTGATCCGATTAGCAAAAACTGAGAGCCTGAACCAAGTCTGAATGCACTTCGTTTTAAATGGATGTTCAATTTGCTATGTTTTTTCTAGAAATTCAAAAAGGGATAAGCCATCATAGCGCTAGCGATCTGACAGCTTCAGTAGGATAGTTAAAGTATTTTAATCAATTACGGGTGACTCGGCAAACGAAATTCCACTCAAAAGTGACGAAAATGGAAATTGAAAATATTTCACCGTATTGTTTAAATTAAATTACTTTTCCATTAACGTTTTCTATTTTGTTCAAAAAATACATACAATTTAATATCACAACATATTAAATAGATAATTTATTTCAAATAAATATCTGTGAAGGGATTTTCTGTTGTAATTTAATTAATCTAGAGTATTCGAAATAAGTTGTAATGTAATGAAAAGTATAGAAGTTAAAAAGTATGAAAAAGTTATACGAAATACCGATTACTTACACATTTTTAATGTTTGCAGTGCTTCCAGTGGTAGCCAATGACTCCATAAATTTGTAAGTCTCTCTGAAGGCGCTGGATCCGTATGACCAAGTACAGGAAAAACGAAATGAGAACTAAATGTCATCCTTAGAAGCTCTGTTATATTTCTGATCGCCTGGTACCTATTGTCTTCATTGTCAGAGTATTGTACTGCTACGATGTCCCTACAAAGAATTTCTAATAACGTATACCACAATTACAATTAATTCAACTTTCCTTTGTATTTAACGTAATGAATAGAGAACTTCTAGGTTTCTTTTCCAGTTGAATTAATAGTATAAATTAATTAACATAAATCACAATAAATAATTAAGTTTTATTATTTCAGCCGATTAAAGTATTATTGTATTCTATTTCCAGTCATGAATGATACATATTTAAGGATAAAAATACATAGTATAATTTGTATGAGTCCTCAATTTCAATTTTCTTAATAATATTATAAGAATTGACATTCATTATTAAAAACATGAAATAACCGATATGTCACTAATAAAATTGAAATTAAATCTTAATTTTTATACATATTGAAACCTTACCCGGTCCATAAAACAAACTCAACATTTTCTGAATGTCGTGTACGCATATATCTTAAGGCAGATTGTATCAGTTCCAAAGAACTATCGCAGGAGTAATCCCCAAGTCTACCGAGGGCTCTGTGGTGGCCCGAGCTCCCTCGCTCGTCGGCTCTTCGACAATCTAAACAAATGTTCAAAGATAATTAAGGATGTATTCATGTTTATGATTAATGGAAACAATCATTCGTTAGGGGTGAAGTGGCAGAGCATCATTTATTAAATGCTATGTTGAACGAAGGTTAAGTTACGCAATACGAATTTCTATTGAAAGAAAATTGCCTTCTCAACTTTTATTTCTATCTTTAAGACTGAATAAATAAAAGACTTGATAGGTCCGAAAAGGGAGTGTACATATAATGAATCTGAATTTTTTTATTTTAAATATATAACTAGAGAGGTGCTTTCGCAAATAAATTTTTATAATTCCTTATGTGTCAATAGAATCATAACTTTTTTATAAACTTTATACCTACGTCTTCTAGTATCACCCTGTACTGTGTATAACGGGTCGTAATGAAAGTCTGTAATGTGCCAGAAGTAACCTGAAACAATAATATTAGTATTCAATTTTCAATTAAATTATATATCATCAACAATACTAGTTAAATATACCAGATACAATGATATACATAAACCTAGAATAAGTTCTATTAGTAACAAATTTACATAAAAGAAAGGAATAAGGGCATTGTTATTTTATAAGAATGGGACAAACCGTCGTAAATCACGCTCTAAAAAACAACTGCCAAGAAAAAACACTACAGATTTTTTAAATGCTAAATAAATATAGCGCACGACCTCAATGCGAATGGATACACAATTCTAAAAATGGAGCTTGTAAAACACTTAACACAGTAGGTCGGGTTCAGTCCCACTTAGCAGTCAGCGTCTTGACATAGAATTAGTGAGTACATAACACTACAATGCAAAGTTGGGTAACTCGATATACGGCATATCTTAATTGAGGTTAACATTGAAGATGAGTAAGTCAATAGTGGCTTTGTTCTGTATTCAATAGACTCAGAGTCAGGCTTAACGGTAGTAATATAAAAATAATGTAAGTTTTGGTTCGCCTTCGTCCGTCGAATAAGCAAAATTCCTAAAACTATTATACCGAAGCTAAAAAGGTTCGACAGTGAGCAAGGTAAGTAAAAATTATACTTGGCCTTGTAGCTCAACTTAAATACTTGACCTTATTAGAGAAATGATATTTTCTGGTCTTCAAATATATTTGTTAAAATGCTTGTACGTGAATCTATGAATTGTTTATAATTTTTAGCTTTGGTCTTTATCTCTGTCCCCGAATATAAATTAATATACTTTAAGCCGATCGCTAAGTAGTATTGTTTCATTTGTATTTAGGGCACGAGTATTACTTACAGAATAATAATAATAAAAAATATATTTCAACAGTAACTAGTATTAGTGGTATTAAATTAATTGATTTTAAACAAAGATTGGTTCATAAAAACAAACAGCAAAATCGATAGTAATTTTAAATAATAAATGGTTAACTAAGGGAAACGGAAACTAACAAGACAATTATAAATATAAAAACACTACAGCATATTAAACAAACGAAAATGATGTAATTTCAAATAAAATTGATCGTCGTTTTACCAGGAAATTATGAAAGATAAAAAATATTTTAACTTCGGCTGATAATTTGTTAAATCTTTGTTTTTATACTTAATAAAGAAACCATTCTTAAACTTTAAGGACTTTTTTGCATTTGCAATTTGACAATTGATTTTTATGATTCCAGAGCTATCTAAAAAGCAAGTGCTACAAGTAAGTCTAAGGAAAGATGGCTGACGAGTTCTCTTTCATATTAATCAAATATGCGATTAAAATTGTTTATAAAGTTTCTGTATTTAATACATCTTTATATATGTATATTAAGTTTATGGTTATCATTCCTTTATACTTCCAAAAGAACAATAATTTACAACAAAGAAGACAGGACGTGTCAAGACAAAAAATAAACGTAAACAAAAATTATGATTTATATGACGGCGAGTAGACCAGGTGAGAATTTCAGTGTAAAAATAACCCAATTGAATAAACCATACATGTTGCTCAAACGCGACCTGAATGATGATATATTAAAATTACAGACGTTGGTGAGATTCGCCATATTTATGAGCCATGAAAGATATTGTTCACGAAATATATAACGAGGCTACGGGACGATACGCAGAAGCCTTATAATAATCAACTTATAACGAGATATCTACGTGTCATATAATATAAATTAGTTTTTTATATAAATGAAACGAAAAATGAATGAAAAATTTTCAGATAGTAAATTAATTAAGTACAAACAGTAAGTATACTGAAGAGATAACAGCCCTCCATCAATAGTTAATTCTCACACCGATAACCAAAACTTTACTAGTGCATTGCAGACTTCATTAAGCTATACTAACCACAAGGTTGAACCGGCGAATAGTGAAACCAATCTACTAAGCAAAATTAAGAGAAGAAATAAAATAGCTGAAGCAACAACGCTTCACAAATTTACTCTGCAATTTTAGAAGAAGAAGCCTCTTGGACGCTATTCCTTAATGACAATACCTATTATAAAGTTACTTTTTATTCTTTTGTTGTTTGAAAATAAAACAAATGCATTGTACAATAACAAAACCATTTTCTTCTTGAAAGACTTAGGTTTCTTGACTTAATTTTTATTAGAATTGAATTTTTATGGAACTATAAATATGAATAATATGTATTTGTGATGTCATTTGCTCAATACTTTTTAACATACAATAATAAATCTTCAAATTTATGAATACATATTTACTAATAAATAATCGTAAATCTAGTAACATAAAAAAACATTTAAAGTAAATAATTACTACAAATCATCATCGCCTCCGCATTGGAATCATTACTTATACTTGACGTCTTATATCCAAAAGACTTAGATTTATTATGTGTATACCAACTGTACTTATACAAAGTTTATAAATCCTTGAAAAATTCAGGATACTAAGCTATTCCGGTAGATTAGTCTTTCTTTGGAAGTCAATGAATAATTCAAACACTGCATCTAGTTGGTGTGCTCTATGCTATTCAGAAGTTTCACGCTATTCTCTAGTTCCTATTGAACTAACTTGTCACCGTTTGTTTAGTTCTAGATTTATTATCCGCTTGATATTTGCCAGTTTTGCTGATATTAATTATAAATTCGATAAATATGACAATATACAGAGCCTTATGAACGATTTGTTTAATAAATCTTTAAAAAAGATGAGCAACTAAATAATAAATATCACTAATGAGATTTTTACAAATTAGCACTTCCACAATCATGTATCAAATTTTATGATCTTATAAAATTGTCTACCTAACAATATCATATAATTAAAGAGGACTGAGTAAGTAATCAATATCAATTAACTCTCCAGAAATTTTCAATAATCACCATCATTTTGTTTTTGTAAGTTAATTACAGTAAAGTGGTATCTTTTCAATATTGACGTTTGTTGAAGTAATATAATTTTATGAAAATAAACAACAAAAAGGAATTTGATAGAGAAACATCGTTGACAAAGAATGAAAGAATCGATGTAATATTTTATTAGAAATATTTAATAATGAACCTAATTGTGAAATAAATTATTAATTAATAATCTGTGCCTTATTACATATAAACCTGTATAATTGTACTATACTATACAGAACATGACAAAAGAGAGTGTCATCAAATGAAACATGTAAGAGTTATAAAAATTTTGTTACTGAAGGGTATAATGTCTTTTAAACAAAATTCTTAAAAATCATTAAAACAAAATATTATTCATACGTGGCTCTGAAATTTCCTTTGATAGTCATAATTACTGTTATTTTTTCATTTTTGTATTTGTATTTTTCTTTCAAGATAGTGTGCAGAAAACCGGTATTAACACTTTTAAGCCTAAATCATTTTGGAAACTTTTATAAAATAAAAGTCAACATTACTTTAGAATAAAAGCGTATACCTTTGTTTTCATTTATTTGATTTTTATTTTGGTCGCAAAAAAAAATCTCCCCCAAACGTGATAATATTTTAACTAAACACTGTAAATGAAAGGATAGGAACATACTTTTTTCAGAAGGATATTAATATGTCTAAAACAATTATAAAATACAAAAGCATTTCAATTTTTCAAAGCTTCGTAAACAATAAAATTTATTACGAAATAGAATAATTCAGTTTTCTAAAAAATATTAGGAATTCTTAGTTTTTTTACTATTTTATCTATTCTGATATATATAAATTTCTCTATAAAACTTGAAACGAGAACTCGAAATTAACAATGATCACAAAATAATCATATGCTTTTCAAACAAATTCCATTACCTAGCTAATGCTCATGAACTACCCGGCTTCACAAATAACTATTTATTAACTATCGTTAGACAACAAGCATGATTCGGTCGGACAATTTCAATATTATTACTTCCAGATTGCGGAACAACTTTCCAAAATCTATTTATTACAAGGGTCTATTGCGGAATTCATCTTATTTTCTGGAATAAACAAAACAAGGGAAAGTATCGAAATAAGGAATCTAGGTCATACATTTTACATAGCAATCTTGCTAAGTTCGTGTTTAATGTTTACATATTGCCATGGAGATTGTCGTGTATTTGATATATTATTGTTTTAGAAATTTAGGCAGTCTGTTTTCTTTGCTTTTTTACTTTTGTTTTCTGTATGAATTGCATGTCAGGGGATGGTTGGTCAAGAATGCTGTACCGATGACATTGTATTTGCTTCATTATTTATGTAACAAAGTTTTTCAATAAATGAAAATAAATAAAGCCTTTATCTGTCTGACTGCTGGTAGCTATTTGTTTCAAATTGAACTGCAATTTGTGGCTAGCTCGGAATGATAATTAAAATATAGAATTACAGTTTACGAAATAAACATAACATCAAACATTTTATTTGATAACGTTCATTCCACCACTTAAAATGGAATTTCCATTGTTAAGGTACGTTCTAAATATCAAGCTATCCTGAATAATGGTTTCTGTAATCTTAAACGGGAATAAATCAAGTTGAATATTAATGTTTAAGATCTTCGCTTACAATAGAATTAATGAGCTCGCTGATAAATTTTATATAAGTGTGGACAAAACTCTTTACTTTCTAGTTTACTTACATTATTTTTAACTAGTTTATAAATTAGTTTGTAGCGTTTTGGAATTAAATTAAATCAAAATAGCAATACAAGTAATAACTATCATTTTGTATACTTCTTTTGTTATCATTAACTATGTAGTGATGTGACGGAACGGATACGATAGGTACAGTAAAATAAAAAAGTCCCTAAGTAATTTTAAATATAAAAGGAATTGATTACCGCCTATAATAATATAAAAATAATAAATGGAATGACTTTACAAGTATTACTCTAGCATACGCGACCTATATAACAGTTAAGACTATATAATTAAGCCAACAAATTATCCACCTCTAATGGTGAAGTGGAAGTCATTGGCAGCGTCAGTCAGGCTTCATCGCACAAATGCGAAGGGATGTATTCAT